AAAAAAAAAAAGGAAAAAAAGTAGTCGAATGCTGGGAGATCGATGCCCGCGATAAATAGTTCTGCGATGTCGTCGAAATTGCCGTTCGGAAGTAACGAGATACAAATAGAACCCTCTCGCGATCGCGCCACTATGAAGCGAGCAGAGGTGACTGCCCCCGTATTAGGTCACATTTGCGCCTGCTCCGACACCGCCGCCCGCTTGCCGGGACGACGATTATGCCGCGTTCACAGGACCGTCGAACCTTTGACCCGTGACCAGCGATCGGTGATCCGTATTAACTGGTCCGCTTGTCGGCCTCGATGATACATCGATTGGTATATCGACGCCGGGACGCTGTTCCTATATTGCTGACAGAAGCATACAGCCAGATGTTCTTTCGTCGATGCGATATTACGAGGTGTTCCAGACCGCGGATATTTACGTGTGCTCATACTTTTACCAGGCTAAATTTCTTAGGCTTTAGAGAATCAAGGTTTTTCCCGAAACTCCTTTACTAAAAGTTTTTGTTGATTGAAAATAATTCCTTTTAATAAGTTAATTAAAATCCTTTACCGAAGAAGAAATTCTAATTAGAGAACACATTCTATTAACACACTATAACAACCGTGGTTGTGACACCATAGCTTTTATAATCAGAGACAAAATTCAGAATAAAAAGTAGGATTTATAAAACGTAGCACGTGAATCAGGGAAAGCACATCAATCAGGTTTGAAGAAGATTTTCGAGAATTGCGTGTTTCACGTTGGATCATTTTCTTCGCGCAAGGGAACGATCAGACGACCAACACTTAACACCAGACCTACCAACAACTAAACAGCATAAATTCTCCATCAAGGGCATTAAAAGCAAAAGAAACAGAGAAATTTTCTAACACAATACAGAGCATTGATTTATATATTTCACAAAAAAAATCAAATATAAATCTCAAAAAAATACATTGCTCTACATTTATAAAATTCCTAGAGAAGAAAATTATTAATTGGTCACTTTGGTCACTTTGCCAATTCATCGTCGGTCAGAAACATCTCACGCTCGGGCTCACGTGAGCATATAAATATTATAACATATTATAATAACACATTGAATTCGCGGTGACGCAATTCTCACGTTCGCGTTATTAACGGTGAGCAACGGCCGTGGAGGAAAAATCTCGCGTCCCCGTAACTCGTTCGCGGTGAAAAAGCGCGAGAGTTGCCGGAGGTCGTTGCCACGAACCCGCCTCTCCTCCCTCTCCCACTCTCTTCTTCAGCCCCTTTCGCCGTTTCTCGCTTGCCTGCTCGCTCGCTCGCCGCTTTTTCCTCCGTCGTCGCCTTTTTCACGGATTAATTAAACGTTTCCTTTATCCCGGTCCGCGTTTCAATTTCGCCACTTTCTAAACGCGAACTGTTCCAAGCCGCGCTTCAAGAAAGGAACGGAATAAAACCCGGGTGAAAGTAAGAATGCAGACCGAGAAAATGGAACTTCAGCTTTGGCTCTCGCGGACGTAGTTTCTTCAGAGTTGGAGGTTTGGTACGTTATTTTGAGGATAATAAAGTGAAAATAGGTTACTTTAATGTTTTATTCACCTCGGTGGTTTATTTTACAGCAATTAGAGGGAGCGATTTAAAAAAGAAAAAAACGATAATCTGGTCGAATTTTCGAGCTAAATTCTGGAATGTCCAAATACGGAATCTCCGTTTGTCTTGTTACTCAGTTTTTTTTTTTTTTTGGATAACAGAGAACAAAAAAAATTTCAATATTAATGCTCTTTGTATCAATATTTCTTGATTTACAATATCCTGGGATTAATGTATTATAACATCTATAATTGCAATTTTCTAAATAAATATTTTACCCTCTCCCAAGACCGAGAAATTTAATTTTTTTAAATCCGTCAACACGAAAGTCTTAAGGCAGTATTTCTATACGAAGTGACCAAAGAAAAAATAAAAAAGAATTACATCTAAAATAAAAATATTAATCATTTTGTTCACGATAAATGAAATTTATCGTTACGACATATGAACAATTTAAAGTAACAATTTAGAATTTCACAGTGCACATTAAATCCACATTTAATACCAAGACCTGTAAGTTCTCAAACGACGGACTCAAACTAAATATACCAGAAAATTCCGATCTTCTCCGAAGCCAATAAAGTACGATTCATTAAAAATAGAAAATCGCATCTATTGCCCTAGCTTCTAGAGTCAATCGAATACAACCGACGAATAGCAAATCAGAAGGAACAGTGTCGTCGACGTTGGTCCAACGACTAACAATAAGATCGCGAGTTCACCGCGATCAAGTTCAAGCAGCCAGAGGCGACAACGAGCAGGAGTTAGAGGAACACAGGGCTCGAAAGAAACAATACGTTATCAAGCCGCGGGTGTGTGAGGCTCGGTCGAGAGGGGAACCAAGCTCGGGGAAAAGAGAAGAGGCTCGGGCGCCGTGGCAACGACCTCTGCCACTCTCTCGTCGCGACGCCCGCGCCAGCGGCTGACCAGCGGCCCGCACTTGCGCTGAATAGTGGCCAGGCCGTTGACACAAGCCCGTCCTCTCGCGTTGGCT